GTGAGGTCTAGGGATCGAGCCCTGCGATCTGCATCTGCTACTGCAGAGGTGAAAACTGTTTCAATAGCGAAAAAACCGACTAATGACCGGAGTGGTCTTTATTCCCGAATTGGATAAATCCAAGTTATCTTTAAGGTAGAGAACAGTCCGACGCTTTCAAGCGATGATTTGACAAGAATCTCCCATCATTTAACTCTACAGATTTATTTAAAACAGCATCTCCAAGGCTAGGAGAGAATTCCTAGGTCATATGCAGATACATGTCCCCGGACATGGGAGAGTCAGGTCCGGACAACGGCAACCTGGGGTGGTTCCATATTGATTCCTTGCACCGTGGTTCTTCCTTCTCTTTCGTTGGTGAATTCTGCAGCGATTACGGAATGAAGACAAGGCGTTTACTTGGAACCGGCCGAGCCTCCACCGTGTTCCAAGTCACAGCCAGATTTAAGCTCCCGCCTCCTTCTGAAAAAATATCACAAAAGTCTCTTCGATTCTCTTGCATCCAAGACTCTTCAGCCATGCCCCTTCCCCGAATTTGAACAATGTCTCAAGCTGGAGCGTGGATCGTTCCTCAAGGTCTGCTTCGCACAGAGTCTTCACGACGAGCGTTCTTGAGAGAGATGCGTCGAACCTTTCCCCGGGAAGCCCCTAAGAAGGCTCACAACCAACTCCCTCTTAGAACCCCCGACCAAAGCTAGGATGATCCCAATTGTGAGTAAGTCCCACCTTCCCCTCCCCTTTCATCCGTCAGCCTCAACTTCACACACTCTTCCTAGGATTGACATTTCGTCATCATCCAGTTCATCGATAGTCTTCCCAAACGCCTTAGCAGTGACATACCCTGCGAGTAATTCTCCCAAGATCCAATTATCCATCATACAATCCATTACTCCTCTCTCCATTGCCCAGATCTTTCCCTTCTTACTAAGGAGTTTGATCGTACATAAGCACTTATGCTCAAAAAATTCAAAGAGGACGACCAACCCTAATTCTGATTCTAACCTGTGCTCCCTCCCGAAGCTAGCCCGGAACTTCTCCTTGTTCCAATTCCGGAAGAGGTTACTCCTTACGAAAGTCGTCACCGTTCCTCTGGCACAGTCTAGAATCCTGCAGTTTGCGAAGGCATTATCGAATGATAGACCTGTCTCTTATACACATCTAGATGTGTATAAGAGACAGATTCCTGCCCATCCTCAGCCCATATCAGATTCTTGAGACCTCTGATTAGAGTCTCTGCATTATCGAATGATAGACTTGATTCCTGCCCATCCTCAGCCCATATCAGATTCTTGAGACCTCTGATTAGAGTCTCTCCTGCCTCATCTTCGTAAACATCGATTTCCGACTTGGGTACGACGGTCGTCAAGTCTCCTTCCCTCCCCCCTACCGTAAATGATCCTCTCATCATCATGACGCCCGTCTTATCCTGCGATCGCACCGGCCTGGTGAATCCCAAATTAGAGTAAGGTGTTCCCCCTTTCCTATCCTTCCTAGTAGCAAGTGTTTGTCCCAATTTAGATCCCCACTTCTTTTGGATCCGAGTTCTCGGATGACATATCGGATTCTAGCAAATTTCAAGCCTCCAACTTAGCCTCCAACTGTGTCGCCCTTTCAGATCAGGAGTCGATCGCCTCTCTTAATTCGATCGGACTTCTAGAACTTCTTGACCTAACTCTTCATTCCTCCCCTTCCTTCCTCCCATTGATTCCCTCGGATCCTTGTCAAATAACTAGAGGGCTTTCAATCAGTTTGGTTAAGAGATTCTATGACCGATCGGCTCCCACTTGGATGCCTCTTCAAGGTGACCATCTATCAATCCAATTCCTCTCGACTCCTCTTCTTCTTTACTGAAAGTCCGTCTCAGCCATCGAATTCGCCTTTACCGATTCGATATTCGCCCACCCAAGAATCTTTTAAGAAGCAGACCGTACCCATTCGTCGACGTCGCCCTTCCTAGTTTCCGTCGAGTCAGATCCAATACTCTTAATCGACTACCCCCTTTCTCCTCTCGTTGCAACCAGCGACCTATCCTCTTCTTCTAATTCCTCCCTCCGGTAGCGTCTCACAGACTCGAGGCGCCCTTCATCGCCCGACCACTCGTCGAGAGGCCTCCCTCCTTCTTCTCACTATCTTCTTTTCGGTGGTTGCTCATTAAACTCGCGCACTCTCCTTCCCGCAGCCATCCCGAGTGCTGTAGGAAAGAACCCAACGATTCACCCTCCTCTTGATTCTTAATAAGCCGGAGTCACTCAGAGATTCCGAAGGGGAGTTCCCTCCCCGAGGCAACCTCGCGCTTCATCGAGAAGCGCTGTTCCTCCTTGCGCACTCTTATCCCTAAAGTCAAGTGCGCTCATCCGCCTTGACCTCGCCCGGAGCGTTAGAGAGTAACGGACGCCCGTCTTCTCTAGACGTTCCTTCCTCCTAGCAGAGTTTCCTATCGCCTGAAGAGGCATCCTTCTACCGTAGCCGCCATCACTTCGAGCGCTTCGAAGGGAGCGGGCGGTCCCCTCCGGGCCCGCCCGTATCAAAAGACTCTTGCCCTCTTACTACCGAACTAAATACTGCCCAAGTTCGTTCTTTGCGGCCTAGCGCATTTGCTACGCGGATTCCTATCGTCACCCCGAAGAGTGCAAATTCTCCCTCTTTCAGACTAGATACTCCTAGTAAACCTCAAGGTTGAACCGGAATCCAGGCGCTGGAGACTCTGTCCTTAATTTGCCTTCTTTCAGCGGTTGGTCCTAATTCTCGTCCTTCCGCCGTAGCGCGAATTAAACCGCTGCATCCATCGTCGTGCGGTGAAAGAGACCTACCCCGAATCCTTCCCTGCTTTAAATAGTAGTTTTCACTTCCCGCCTTCCCTTTACCTTCCCCTCACGAAGAATCGTTGTCTTAACCTTGCTAATTTCCCGCCCAAGTTCCTTGCCAAGTTCCTTGGTTCGGTACTTACCTTTCTTGATTCCTTGAAGCCCTGAGAAAAATGCGTTTTTCGCCGTGACAGCGGGAAAAACCTCCGAGAGTTACTCACAGCTTGTCGCTCAACTTGGAGGGACGTGCCTCTTGGCTTGGCGTGTGCGACAAGCGGCGAAGTGGAAAAGCAAAGCGTGATGAGCACTCTCAGCTATTATCCATATATAGCAAAGAGTTCCCATCATGGAGCATCATCATCTGAGATAGCCCCAATTCTGGGCCCTATCCAGGAACCTAGGTGAGGTTCCAATCCTGATCTGCAGATTGAAGAGCTTAGTGCCGCCAAAACTTGCCTCCAATGAGAATTACTGCCCTACGCCCTCTAACTAAGATCAAGTGTAGTATCTGTTCTGATCAGTTTAATATCTGATCCGTGTCCATCGGGCCACATTAAAAAAAAAAGAAAAAAAAAAGGACTCCTCTGTACACCTCTTGGGGCAGGTGGCCTGAATCTTTTGACAGCCTGCTCATAAACGGGTGTGATTTTGTTTTCCTCTTTGATTTGTACCATTTCTCTCATAAACAGGTGCAACTTTTTTCCCCTCTTTAGTTGTACCATTTCTCTATTTATGTGTGTTATCCTTGGGCATGGGCCATGTTAATCTTCTCTGTATCATTGCAATTTCAAAGGATGTCCTGGAGGACAACAGCTGTGTTTTTCACAATTTTTTAGTTGAACGGGGGGCGATCTGGTGATTTAAATCAAGAGTACTTTTCCCATGCATTTTCCCACGATGCGGCTGTGCTCGCGCCTCGTGTGGCGGGATGTACCGGCCTGCAGTTTCGCTCGGAAAACATCCAGGCAAAACCGGCCGTGCATGCGACTGATTTTGCCTGCCAGTGGATGAATTTCGCGTGAAACCGCTGGTACATCCGGCCAGATGGGCACAAGCATGGCTGCGTCATAGATTTACACGCCCCGAAATCTCTCCAACGGTAGTGACAAAGGGCCTACCAGGTGGCACTGACCTTTCAATTCCGGTAGGCTGAACCTTTGTGCAGCACCGGTTTAAACCAGCACGAACCACATGGCCGACTACCGAAGGCAACCGTCATATGTCTAGTATCCAACCTCTACAACAACCTGGGCTTGAAAAAAAAAAAATGGGGTAACTACGCGGGAGTCACAAAAATACTTTGAAATGACACTTGGGGCCTTTCAAATTGCACTCCGAGCAATGTATACAAGCCATCTTTCCAGTTAGGTACATTGCCCAGAGTGCAACTTGAAACTCGTCTTGGCCCCAAGTGTAATTTCAAACTGCTTTTGTGACTCCTGCGTAGTCCCCCCCCCCAAAAAAGAAAACCGGTGCATGTTCCTGAGCCTGGAGCATCAGCCAAAAAGGTCCTGGGCATACATGTAGCACTACGGAGCAATCTAGAACATGTGTACTTCTGCGGCAACATTTGGAGTGTAAGCGTCTACCACTCGGTTTCCGCACCAGCACTGTTTTCTGCCATCTACAGCTGTTATTTTGATTCTTTCTGATACTTTTCTGGAAAAGATCAGCATTCAATCTATGTCCCTGAGTATTTTCAGAAGTTTGCAACAACTATTTGGAGTGCAAAAAATCACTCAAGTGGGCCCACTCACTTCCACCCACCCTCCCAATGGCCTATAAGATAACCCATCCTGTGGCGGGCAGGCACCCTGGCACAATTTATGGATTGTGTCGCGGTGCATTTAGCCGAGCCTAACGACTGAACACGCTCCAGGCCAACTGGTAGCAACAGGGAGCAAAATATGTGTCCTTTTGCAGCCAGAATTTGTTTCTGCAACCTACTATTGGTTTTCATTTTTCTAATATTTTTTCCATTTTTTTTTTCTTTCCTTTTCTTCTTCTTCTTCTTCTTCTTCTTCTTCTTCTTCTTCTTCTTTTTTTTTTTTTTTTTTTTTTTTAAGGGCCCAGTGCCCAAGGCTCCAATTATGAAATTGATTACAACACTTAAGGCACTCCTCTTCCCATTAGGGCTGGAAGAGCCTCGGCCACTGGTCCCCTGGAGACAGCTTCCCTGTATACCACGAATAAAGCTTAGTCATGGGGCATTGATTGCTTCCTCAGTGAGGAAGGATTAACCCCGTTGTGTGCAAGATCAATCTCTGCCCTACTCGACTCCTCAATTACCCCTACTTCAATCTTCTGCACAGTGAGGAGTAGGGGAGATACAAATAAGGCAAAGAGATTGATAACAGAGCCAGAAAGTTTGATAGTTCATCAGTAATTACGACGCGCTTCCCCTAAACAACAGTAGTTAACACAAACCAAAGGGGAGCATACTAATTGGAAAAAGATTCTAATCTATATGTAGAGCTCATCAAACCAAGTCCAACCCTAACCGAGGGGGGGGGGCAGAGAAAACAACCCAGGAGCCCCCCCCGCCTCCAAACCCCCTCTCCACAACCTCTCTTCATCCTCCCAAATCCCACGGGAACAGCTCATCATCATTCCACCCATCACGGCATCCCCAGATCAGCATCATCTCATACATAGCAGAATTTTCATGCGAGAGGGCGAGATGAAATCGAATACCCCTAAACAACAGTAGTTAACACAAACCAAAGGCGAGCATACTAATTGGAAAAAGATTCTAATCTATATGTAGAGCTCATCCAACCAAGTTGAACCCTAACCAAGGGGGAGGGAGAGAAAACAACACAGGAACCACCTCCAACTCCCAAACCCCCTCACCACAACCTCTCTTCTTCCTCCCGAATCCCACGGGAACAGCTCATCATCCTTCCACCTATCACGGCATCCCGCATCATCTCATACATAGCAGAATTTTCTTGCGAGGGAGCGAGAGGAAATCGAATAGCCCTCGCCATAGTAGCTGACCCATCAACAGATCTTGGTTGGACGCCGATTGTGTCGATCGTGATGAGCGAAGCAGTCATAGCTGGAAATTGTATTTCAGATGTCATCGTCAGAATCGCTGTTGATGTCATTGGAAAAATTGTTGATGTTGATGATGTCATCGTGGTTGGCGCTGTTGATGTAGATATCGGTGTTTCAGATGTCATCGTCAGAATCGCTGNAATTGTTGATGTTGATGATGTCATCGTGGTTGGCGCTGTTGATGTAGATATCGGTGTTTCAGATGTCATCGTCAGAATCGCTGTTGTTGTCATTGAGTAAATTGTTGATGTTGATGATGTCATCGTGGTTGGCACTGTTGATGTAGATATATTTGACGTTCTTTGTTCCGATGTCGTCGTGAGAAGTGTTGTTGTTGCCATGACGAAGATCGCTGGTGTTGATTCTCTTGAAGATATCCTCATCGCTGTTGATATAGCTGCAGAGCTTAACACTGTTGTTGGAATTGTCTTCACTGTCGAATTTGCCGTTGGTGTAGAAGATGATTCTGAAGATTGCTGCGGACTACTTGTGGCTGCGCTCGCAAACAACACCCCCGATGTGCATATTGCTCCTTTATCACACAGGTCGCTCCCTTCCTCGTAGATCGCATAGCAATCGCCCAGCAGGGAGTCCGCGAGCTGCCAATCAAGTAGATCTTCCAGCTGTGGATCAGGTCCCTCTTCAAGTTCCCAGAGGACATTCATCATCCTCTGCCGCTTATCCTCCAGCCATGCGGTCCTTGAAGTCTCCCCCTCTTCAACTCCAGACCAATCACTGGCTGTTGAAGACACAAGGGTTACCATCTCCCTCAGCCGACACTGCCCCTCCTTCAACTTGTAGATCCAATGTGTCGCCACTTGTTGTAGATTTGCTGTTTCCATCCCCCTGCCATACTTTTCTTCCAATAGAGCGCCATTCGCAAGAAAGCCATCTGCACACTGACTACAGGATTTTACCGTCCTGCCCGTATCACTGTCCATTCCGCTCTCGTCAAACCTCCTTCAACACGAAGTTGGACCTTAGTTTTACCACAGCGATGGCGTCAACGCCGTCAGTCCCCCTCGTGACCACCGAGACGTTGGGTGACAAGACCGGCGGGCCCGCCGGCCGGTTTACTGCCCTCGCGCTCGCGACTTAACGCTCCCCTTCGCGAAGAGTCCTTAAGGCATGGCCACACATCTGAAGGTATAGCGAGGTGATAAGAGCAGCTAATACTTTTTCCAGAAAAGATAAACATTCAAACCACCAGTACGTTTCCGAGCCATATGCTGGACTCGCAAAGAGATTTTGAAATTACACTTTGGGCAAAAAGCAGTTTATTTTTATATAAAAGGGTTGTGAGGCGTCGGGGATTCAACTCCTACGGGGAAGCCGGCGGGAGGCTTCATGCACCAGATTCAGCCAACCCGTCGGCGTGGTGGCCTCACCCACACACAGAATCACTCAAGTCAAGGCTCAAACCTCTCCACACACCCACTCTGCCGGTATCACCCAGGACTGGTGCTACCTAGGCACCGCAGCTTGGAGCAACCCCCTCTGAACTCAGGGTCCTGCATCCCCATTGCACCCTGCCGGGAGGCAGCAATTGCACCACAGTCGCCTGGTGCGCAGGGGATGAGCGTCACTCCTGCTAGGGGGGGGGGTGTCCAATCACTCCCGGCAGGCACTCCTCTTACTGAGTCCACCCCCCTACAAGGCTGAATCCCCCCATGGTCTCAACAACCCCAAGGAGAGTGTGCACACTCAAACCGTTACGGGGACCCAGGATATACTGTTCGGGGGAGCAATTTCCTGATGGGCACCCTGGCGGGTGGATCCCCAGTTCAGGGTTGCCAGGCCCAGTTGTATATCCGTACCCCTGGAAGCATGCGCACTCAGTGTGCGAATGGCCTGGCGCTATGAAAGCGTGGAACGTCGGAAAGCGCAGGCCGTGAGTTTGGAACCCACGACCTGAGACCACACTGCACATTTCCAGATGCTGTCCTAACCACTCGGACAGTTTCAAATTGCACTTTGGGCAATGTATACAAGCTAGCTTTCCGGTCAGGTAGGGTTACGTGGGGATGTGTTATGTTGGGGGAATGCCTGAAGTGTAATTTCAGACTGTTTTTGTGAGTGTACTGAAGTTACCCCAACATCAACGAGGGGTGTAGGGGGGCTGCTGATAAGAGCAGACACCCCTTTTACAGTTCCCGCCTATTACAGTTCCTGCTTATTACAATTCGCACTTATGGATGGATCCGTTCCATTGGAGGGGAGCTGCACCTTCTGGAACACGGGTCCAGAGTCCCATTTTCTAAGATGAGGTTGTACGCACTCTGTGTCTTGCGGGATGCACCGCCAGTTCCCAAAAGATACATCCAGGCAAATCGATTTGCGTGTGGGCCTCATTTTGCCTATCCCCAAAAAAGGGGAAAAAAAAAAACAGAAAGGCTGGAAAACGTACTGGCGGTTCAATCTATGTCCCTGATTGTTTTCAGAACTTTCCTACAAAATTTGGAGTGCAAAAAACATGGCCAGAGTTGGTAAAAGGAAATTTTGTGGACTTCCATCAAGAGGCATCAACCCTCCTTGTGGCTGGTGGGCCGATACATCCCGGGCTGGTGGGGATCCTGGCATGACTTATGGCTTGTATTGAGAGCAGTGGTGGTTTGACCGGTGGGTGCACGTGGGTGTGTTTGCTTCCTTTTGTCCTTTTTTTTTTCCAAAGAAACTTCAAGTCGTGGACATCACTTACGGAGGTGGTATGAGCAGCCTCCCTAAGTGGTTCCGCAGTTGAAGGCTCCATCTATTGGTGGGGAGCAACACCTGCTGGAAACCGAGCCTCTTGGGATAAGGTACGCATAGAAAAACCATCATTTATTTGCACACAAATGACTGAAGCCTTGGAAACATGTATTCAAATTTCCATTCAATTAAGACCCGCGGGTGTTGTAGAGGCCAAGGACCAGACCCGCGGTGATTGCTGGCAGCGGCAGCCAATGGTTGTCCTGACAGGATAGGCCACCTACCCTACCCATCCCCACGTTAATACTCCCAGCACACCCCCTGTCCCTACTATCCTACCTCAGTGTGACCAGCACTCAGGACCATCACCCTACCAGTATCAAGGGCAACTTGGACCAGACAGCAGTGACAAGCACCAAGGATGGGCCAACCCCCTAGTCGTAGTGGAAGCGGAAGTGGACGAACCCTGCCATACGGGAACTTCGGACGCCAGGCTCATGCAATCTTGTACAGGCCCAATTCAGAGAGTCTTTTTTTTTTTTTTTTTCTCTTTCGGGTGGGGAGCGTCACCTGCTGGAAACCGGGTCCAGCGTCCCATAAATACATTTTTTTTTGAAACCCTGAGCATAACCATGAGAACAGATGATCTTGTTGATCGTTGTGCCCCTTCACCCTAACCAGGGTGCCAGAAATACATGTCTTCCTAGCACTTGACCATACCCCATTGTTTTTTTTTTTCTTTTCTTTTTTTTTTTTCTTTTTTTCTTTTTTTCTTCTTCTTCGAAACTTCATATACTGGAGACCTACTTAACGATGTGATAAGAGTATCCCCGGTAAGTAGGCCCCAACATCGAAGGCTCCATCTATTGGTGGGGAGCTGCACCTGCTGGAAATCAAGTCCAGCGTCCCTGTACAATGATGAAATGTGTATCAGCTGGAAATTGGGTCCAGCGTCCCTATGCAATGATGGGTGATTATCTCCTACTCAGCATCCAAAACTGTCTGTGTTCGGTAGTCAGTATATGTCACATGTTGGGAGAAGCCTATCCACCTAATCTACTGTATCTTAATACGAGTTGAGGCATCAAGCGCAATCCTATCAATCAGACCTCAAGACGAAATCATTACGATGATGTGATGTGTGTGGCCTGGAAATCAGGTCCAGGTGCCTTATACAATGATGTGTAGAAATGCCGTAGTACACACATTTGATTACTAATCTACTGTATCTCCAATACGACCTAAGTCATCAAGCCCAATCCCATCGAATCAAACCAGAAGACGAAACCCTAACGATGATGTGATGTATTGCCATGTTACTCTAGATAGCAGGGCATTGATAATTTCCCAGCGACAAGGAAGGATTAACCTCCTGTCATCAAAGCAAAACCCTAACGAAAAGCATTGTCATCAACCACCACAACACGCAATCATCAAAATACACATCAGAAACCCTAAACAACCTGCCTCCCACCTGAGGGACAGTCAACATTCCATGTTTTTAATTTTTTATTTTTTTTATTATTATTAAGAAAACACAACTGAAATCATTAGGAATGGTGATAAGAGCAGTCAGTCCTAATCACCCAGTTGAGACTCCATCATCAGCCATCATCATCATCATCATCATCATCATCATCATCATCATCAGTTGTAATCATAGGGGCTGTTGGTGCTGCTCTTTACTATGATCAGCACCACCATTCAGTCTTCATCCTCACCATTATCATCATCATCATCAGTTTGTTTTCAAACAGCAGGTGAGGACCACCATTCAGTCTTCATCCTCACCATTATCATCATCATCATCAGTTTGTTTTCAAACAGCAGGTGAGTTGGTCGTCACCATCATACTCATCATCATCATCTTCAGGGTGTTGTCCATCGTCATCAGAAAAATCCAAAAATCTCATCTACCTTTTCGTGTATTCCTTCATGAGATCCTCATCGAGGATAATTGACTGCTTCATTTGATCTCGGGCTACGGTTTCTGCGGTCATGGCGGGGATTTTTGGGGAATGGGTGGGGGGGCGTTGGGGAACCTTACTCTACAGGGGTGCTGCAAGGTGGGAGGTGGCTGCTCTGTCGGGAGTGGGGCAGATTGGTGGTTTGTCCTTGTCTGGGGCCGGGGTGGGAGAGTTGGTCGCCTTCAACCCCGGCGGGGGCAGATAGGGACAAAGGGGAGGCCGAAGGCACCCTCTAGGTGGGAATTGGCTGCCTTAGCAGGAGGAGGGAGGGAGGGGATCTGTTCCAGGTTGGGGTCGAGGTGAATCTCCTCGGCGGTGGCAGCGTGGGACAGCGGTGGTGGTGTAGGGGGAATTTTTCTCTGCGCGGTGACTATTGGAAGCCTCTTGGACCAATTATGTTATTTTCAGCTTTCTGGGGTTCTGAGAGCTAGAGCAGCATCGGGTCTTCTTCTTTATTAGGATCTTCGACCTCAGAGATGGTTGCACCTRGACTGACATCAAKAGGGTTGCTCTRTTCTATGCTCTCAACTTGCCAATGCCAGAACGACACTGGCCGGAGCTGGGGTGTTACCCTGTAACCTGCCACGGCAGGAGCGCGAGGCCTTGTAGAGAGATCTGGGGTTTGCCGAGGGAGGAAGCCAATCCAGTGGCGAATTGGGGGGGCCGCCTTGACACCCTCTGGAGCCGGGATAGTCTCGGGGACGAGAAGAGGTCAGCTATGGTTGATGTTGTTTTGGTGGATACTGTCTTTGAGTAGCAGTGTCCCAGTATAGGGAGGGCTAGGAGTTGCTCCCGGATTAGGAAGCCGGAATAGCTGATATAGCATTGTATTCACAATCCTTTAGATCTAATAAAGGTGGTGCAGTCAATTTCTTTAGAATTCTCAAAAAAAAAAAAGCATAATCATCTTCATCATCATCATCAGTAGTATCATTATCATCAATGTTATAGTAAGCTTTCTGGNATTTCTTTAGAATTCTCAAAAAAAAAAAAGCATAATCATCTTCATCATCATCATCAGTAGTATCATTATCATCAATGTTATAGTAAGCTTTCTGGGGTCCTGGAATTTTTGGGCAGCATCGAGTTTTCTTCCACATCCGGGATATAGGATTTCAGGGATGGTCGAACCCGGACCGATATCTGCAGAGTTGTTCTTTTCTGTGCCCCTGTTTTGCCGACGCCAGAACGATGCTGGCCGGAGCTGGGGCGTTGCCCTGTAACCTGCACAGGCAGGAGCGTGAGGCCTTGTAGAGAGATCTGGGGGTTGCCGAGGGGGGAAGGCAATCCACTGGCGAACCGGAGGGGGCTGTTCCGTGGCGAGGAGAGATCAGCTATGGGGGACATTGGTTAGGTCGGTATTGTCTCTTTTTTACAATGTCCTGGTACAGGGAGGGCTAGAAGTTGATCTAGGATTAGGAGACC